CGGGCCGCCCCGCCCGCGGCCCCCCGCCGCCCCCCGCCGCCGGCGGAGCCATGCGCCCCGCGCCGCTGCTCGGGCTCCTGCTCTGGGCGCCGCTGCTCTGGGCGCCGCCGGTGCGCGGCTTCCGCCACGGCGTCCACTGGAACGGCAGCAACCCCAGGTACCGCCGCCGCCCCCGCCGGCCCCGCCGCCTTTGTACGCCCCGGGCCCGCCGAGCGCCGGGCCCCACCGAGCCCCGGGCCCCACCGAGCCCCGGGCCCCACCGAGCCCCGGGCCCGCGCCGCCGCGACGGGACGGGACGGGACGGGAGGGGCGGCGGGCGATGGGCTCCGGGGGGGCGGGGCTGCCGGCCACCGGGCTACCGGGCGCCCATGGGCGAGACTGAGACGGGGAGCACCTCCCGGTGGGACCGAGCACCCGGGCATCCCCGACAGCACCGAGCCCCCAGGTAATGCTGAGCAGGCGAGCGTCCCCCGGTGTGCCGAGCCGCCGGGCATCCCCACCGGCACCGAGCCCCGGGTGGTCCCGAGCCACCGGGCAGCCCTGGGCGTTGTCGAGCGGGTGAGAACCCCTGGGAGTGCTGAGCTCTGAGTAGCACCGAGCCACCGGGCACCCCCCGGTGGTACCAAGCCCTGGGCAGTACAGAGGCGGTGAGTGCCCCAGCTGGTACTGAGCTCCGGGTGCCCATGGGGGGCATTGAGCCGCTGAGGACCCGAGAGCTCGGTGACACCGAGTCACTGGGCATCCCTGGGTGCCACCAGGATGGTGAACACACCTGGGTGCTGCTTTAGCCCCAGGTGATGCTGGTGGCACTGAGCCCTGGGTGGCATCCAGCTCATGAGTCTCCTTCAGTGACACCAAGCTCTGGGTGTTCCCACACCAGTGGCCAGCTCTGGTTGCCCCCAAGCCAATGGGCACTGCTGGTGGCACCCAGCCCCTGGTGGCACCAATCTGGTGGGCAGTTCTGGTGCTGCCAATTTGCCAGTGGTACCCACCTGTGCTGAGCCTGAGTGCCCTCAGTAGCATTGAACTCTGGTGGCATCAAGCTGGTGGGTGGCACTCTCGGGGCTGTGGGTTTCCATGGCAGGTGTCCCCTCTGGTGGGGAGCACTCCAGCTCATGCCCTGCCTTTGGTGCTGCCCGGGAGCTTTGCTGTCACCAGCGGGTCGCCGTCTGCCTCCATCCTCTTCCCAGCCTCCTCCATTTTAGGTATTTCCCAGCTTGGGGCTTCTCAGGGAGCAGGCGGCAGGGTCAGGATCCTGGGGCCTCCCCCGTGGAAGTCCTGGGCCTGCTGGCCTGAGGCAGATGGGCATGTGATGGGTAAGGCTGGGGGTACAGATGCTGCCTTGATCCCGTCCTGCGGATGGGAGAGGTGGGACCCCACCAGGCATGGATGCCCCAGGAAGGGGGACTCTGTGTGCCCCTCTGCTGGCCTGGGCAGGGCCCCATCCCCGCAGCTCTTGGCCCTGCCCAGGCCCGTCCCAGCCAGCGTCTCCCGTGGGATGCTCTGAGTCAGCAGGAGTCTGTGCTCCATCCTGCTCTCGGGGAGCCCCCAGCCTGAGCGGGGTGTCGGGGGTTCAAGCTCCCCCCCTTGGCAGCGCTGCCATCCCCATGAAGAATATTCTGGTCTATGCCGGGGCTCTGCTCCCCGTGTGAACCCTGGCTGCACCGGGGCCAACGTGGGGGCCGAGGTCTGCCTGCCAGCCCCTCTTTCCCATCCTAGACGCTCGGGACCAAGCGTGTGCACACACGTGCATGTTCATGTGTGTGCACACGTGTGTGCACGTGTGTGTGCCTGCACTGCTGCTCCACCCTGGCCTGGCCGCACTTGCTGTCGGCACAGCCGTGAGCTCGCGGCATCCCCGGTGCCGCACCAGTACCTGGGCTGGGCCCCATCCCCTCCCTGCCTGCCCCGTGCCCCCTGCCCCGGCCGCTACCCCCTGCCAGCACCGTGCCGGGGTGGGAGCGTCCGTGTCGTGTCCGATCAGCGGCGAGGCGAGTGCCTGGGGCGAGGGGCTTTGTGCCTGGGCAGCGTGGCTGTACAAACGCCCCTGGCCGCGGTGGCCGAGCCCATTCAGCTCCAGCGGCCTGTGGCTAATCTGAGCTGATGCCTGGCTGCGGGCGGTGTCCGGTCGGTGGCTGGGGAAAGCCCAGGTCCCCGCTCCGCTGGGGCAGGACGCAGCAGCTCACCCCTCCCGACGGACCCCCGGCTTCCCGGCTCGTCCTGCCCGGCAGGTTCCTGCGGGACGACTACTCCATCCAGGTGGCCATCAATGACTACCTGGACATCTACTGCCCGCACTACGAGGGGGCGGTGCCCAGCGGCCGGGCAGAGACCTTCACGCTCTTCATGGTGGACCGGGAGGGCTACCGCGGCTGCTACGAGACCCCCGGCGCCTTCAAGCGCTGGGAGTGCAACCGGCCCCAGGCGCCCTTCGGGCCCGTCCGCTTCTCGGAGAAGATCCAGCGTTTCACCCCCTTCTCACTCGGCTTCGAGTTCCAGCCGGGGGAGACCTACTACTACATCTGTGAGTCCCCTCAGGATGCCGCGGGGGCTGCACTGAGCTCACGGCGCGTTGGGGCGCTGGGTGCCGTGATTCTTGGGTGATTTGGGGGTCAGAACATGTCAGGGGTCTTGACTGCAGCTCCCCAGCGTTGGGTGTCACCAGGATCCCCACGTTTACGGTCAGGGTACATCCAGGATGTCACTGAGGTTAAGGAGAACACGGGGGTTCTGGATGATGCCAGGGCTGAGGTGCAGGGGGCTCTGGATGTCCCAGGGGTGGGGGTGCAAGGGGATAGGGATGCAGGGGGTGTCTGCATGTCCTGGGGTGAGGGATTCATGGGGGCGTGGCGTGCAGAGAGGTTCTGGGTGCCCCTGGAGGACAGCACAAGCGGGTCGGGGTTAAAGGGGTGTCTGGATGCCCTGGGGTGGGGGTCTGTGGGGAGGGGGGCTGCAGGGGGTTTCTGGATGCCCTGGGGTGGGGGTGTGTGGGGAGGGGGCTGCAGTGGGTGTTTGGATGCCCCAGGCTGGGGGCACGAGGGGTCGGCGTGCGCCCGGCTCGGGGTGCGGGGTGGGTTCTGGGTGCTCTGGGGTGGGGGCGCCGTCCCCTCGTTCCGCCGGGAGGGGGCGCCCCCGGCCCGCCCGAGCCGCCGTCGGGGGTCCCGGGGGGCCGCGCCGGCCGGTCCCCGCTGACCCCCCCCTGCCCAGCCGTCCCCAGCCCCGAGAGCGCCGGGCGATGCCTGAAGCTGCGCGTCACCGTCTGCTGCCGAGGCACCAGTGAGTCGGGGTTGGGGGGACTGTGCCCCAAAATTCGGGGGCTCCGGACCAGCCCCCGCTGGGGGGTACCGGAGCCTCGGGGGCCATTCCACGTAACCCAGAAGATTCCTGACAACGGTGGGGTTTTTTTTCAGCGCCGGAGCCGCTGACAGAGGTGCCCAATTCGCAGCCCCGAGGGCGCGGGGGCCCCGAGGGTGAGTACGGTGGAGGGGAGGGGGCTGCTGGGAGGCCGGGGACCGGCTCGCCCTGACCGGTGCTTCTGCCCTGGCAGATGTGGTGCCTGCCCGGGGCACCGCGGTCCCATCGCAGCCCTGCAAGCCGTGCCTGGCTCTCGTGCTCCTGGCCCTGCTCTGGATGTGACCCCGGCGCTGCCCGTGGCGGGGGGATGGGCTCCTCTGCCCCAACGCCGCTTCCAGACTCTTCCTCACAGCCAACCCCCCCAAGCCCGTGGGGCAGCCCCAGGCCATGACCCGCCTGCTGGACCTCCGCAAAGCCGAGCTGGGGCCGGGAGCTCCGGGCTGGAAGGTGAGGGGCAGCGGGGGCTCCGGGACAGCGGCTGAGCGCCCGCCTGCTGCCCTGAAGCATCCCTGGACGGGGCTCTCTCCCTCTCAGGGACATCGCTTGCCGCACATCGGGATCGCCACGAGTCAGCATCGCCGCGCGCTGGGATTGCCACACCCTGGCACTGCCCCAGCTGCCACCTGCCCCGGTGCTGGGGTCCCCTCAGTGAACGCCTGCTCCGCCCCATGGCCACCTCATCTCGTGCCTTTCCCCACGGATCCCCGCCCCTGGGGCCCAGGGACCCCCAACCCCGGAATGGGGCAGTAGCTCCGATGGCGGCATCCGCCGCTGCTGTGTCCTCCTCCAGCGAGGACACACTGATCTGTCTTCTGGGAAGACGCCTTCCTTCGTGCCCTCGGTTTGGTTTTAACCCCTGGTAGTGACTGAGCAATACAGTATTTGCAAGATCGCTGTGCCCTGGGTGTGCGGCCCCCCCGCCGTCCCCCTGCCCGTGCCCCCCATCCCTGCACCGGTGCTGGGGTGGCTCCTCCAGGGGGGTCCCTGCCCCTTGCTCCCTGCCCAGCCTTTATGGCCAAGGGCTTAATTGCAGCAGTTTGATATTGAGTCGTCAACTCCTGTCACCGGAGAGCATTAATTACAGACGAGCTGCCGGTAATTAACACCCACTGGTGGGATGAGCACTGGGACAAGGGATGAGGGGGCAGTGGGCTTGGGGGTCACTCACCCGAAGCCCCCAGCCAGGCACCCTGGTCCCCCTTGCCACCTTTGGGTGTGGTAGGGGTGTCCAGTAGCCACTCTCTGTCCATCTCTCCATCTGCTATGCACCCCATAAGGTGCACCCCTGAAGTGGGGGATGTGGGGAGCTGCAGGGTTTCCCCCTGCCCCAGTGGGCACCCAGGCTGCTGCGGGAGCCGATCCCATGGCACAACAGAGTCCCTGTCCGAGTCACGCCCCAGGCTTGGGAACTGGCAGGGGAGTTCCCTGATGCTCTTGGTCCCCCATCCCACGAGTGCAGCCCCCACTTGCCCTCCTGTGGGGCTCAAGAGGGTCCCCCCGGGGCTGCCCGCAGCGGGGCCCCCCCAGCCCCTTGCCGCACAGGCGTTGCCGGCCGCCTGCCGCAGTGGTGCCGGGCACGTCAGACAGGTTTTATGGCTTCTGGGAGAAAGAAGCTGCTTGGCAAGAGGCTGAGCGAAAGCATCGACCGTGCCGCTCCCCTCCCCCCGCTCCGCTGCCTGCCCTTCCCCCACCGCACCCTGCACCCCATCGTGCACCCCGCACCCCAGCCCTGCAGGGAGGGGTACCCCAATCCCATGGGGACACAGAGGCTGCTTAGTGCAGAGGGGGGCATGTCCTGTGGGACCCTCCCCCCAGGAGGAGGTGAGACCATCTGGGGGGCATCATGTAGGGACCCCCGTGTAGGATGCTGGGTGGGGCTCCCCCAAAGTACCCACCTGTGGGGATGCTGGGGGGCAATGGTGGCTGTAGGACCGGTGTGTGGGGATGTCAAGGGTGATGGTGAGTCGTGGGACTCCCATGCAAGGATGATCGGGGGCTGTACCCTGCAGGACCCCTGCGCAGGGATGTTGGTGGGCTGTGCCTTGTGGGAACCCACGCAGGGATTCCAGCGGGGGCTGCCCATTGCACCGCCCCTTCCCCAGACCCTCAGGGATTCCTAGGCGAGGCCAAGGGGTCCCTTAGGGACCTCTGGGGTGGGTGCTGGGTCTGGGCACAGCAGGGCCCTGTCCTTGAGCCGGCGTTGTTTGGTATGCGAGAGCTGCCACCAGCTTCAAATCCCATCGACTTCCAATGAGCAATGCCATCAATAACGGCTAATTGATGGCGCGGCCGCTCCAAATCAGATTCCCCGTCCCCTGAATCCAATTGATGGCTCCGCACCCCGCAGCCGCCGCGGCAGAAATTGAATCTATTCAAGGAATGGGCTCCATTAGCCCATCCCTTCTGTCTCGCCATCCCCCTGCCTCGGGGCCGCCCCTACTCCCCCCAGTGCCACCCACACCAGCTGGGATGCTGGGGTGCCAGGGGGAGGTGTGTGGGGTGAGTATGTCAGGTGCCCCAGGTGGGTGGGAGTTAAACCTGCAGAAACTGGGAAGGAAAGATTTATCACCTGGAATAGCAAGTGATGGGAAATGGTAATAGGCAGCAGTGAGATGGAGAGCAGGATAAAGAGCCATGTCGTGCCGGGGGCTGGGAGCCACAGCAGGCGATGAGGGGGGAGTACAGCACGGCCGTGCCCACCCCATGCCCTGGCCCACTGTCAGGACAGGGACCTGGATGGTGGCACTAGGATGAGCCTGCTGGGCACAGTCCCTTTAGCTCTGTGCTGTTCCCAGCAGTTCCACTCCTGACACCAGATCCCTCATCCGGCCACGCTGCCAGAGCCCCCCTACCCCCAGCCCTGCCGTGACAGGGGCTTCAGCGTGCCCCAAACACCCCCCGTCACCCCAGCGTGAGGATAAGGTCAGGAAGTGCCGGGGTAGCCCCAGGACACACGGGGGACACGGGGAGCGCTGCCCTGCCCCGAGGGCTGAAAGGGGGAGCAGGGACCCCCAGGGCTGTGGGGCCCATCCCTGCCTGTTTCCCATGGGCGAAGGGCAACGGCGGCAGCGCCCACCCGAGAGCTGTCGAGAGCATCCCGGAGATGGGAAATGGCTCCGTGTCACCATGGAAACGAGGCCACTGGCTCGACATGCCGAGGGGACACGTGTGCTGAGGGGACACGCATGCTGAGCCCTGAGGAGCAGGGCACCGGCAATGCCAGACACTGGGCACGATGGACTGGACACCAGGCACTGGCCACAGGTTCCCCAGGACTCTGAGGCCAAACCACCGAGCCCATCACCCACCTCGGAGCAGCTCCCCCATTGCCCGGCAGCCACGGGCGCTCTGGGGGATGCCACCTCTTGGTGACACCGTCCCGGTGTGATGCCACCACGGCCGGGCAGCTCCACTCCACCACACCAGTGCCGAGCACAGGGTGTGGGGGCCGGAGCGGCTCTTCCCCGAGCAGCCGCCTGATGATGCGCATCGTCAAGGTTATAATTTAGCAAAACACTCAGCGGGGGCTTGGAGGGAGCTGGCCCGCGCCGGTTAATTAACCGGAGCTGCACGCACCGAGCCCGCTCCTGCCATAGCAATGAGGGTGCGGGCACCGGGCTGGCGCATCCCACCCGCATCCCGGGGGGCAGCGAGAGCAGCTGGCCAGGCCCAGCTGCCAGGTGGGAGCAGCAGGCACTGATGTTTGTGTCCACTCCAGGGCCCAGGGTGGCAGTGGGAGTAGCAGGGAAGGTCACTGGGGTGTGAGACAGCCTGGCACTGCTGGGTGTGCACGTGCAGGGGTGTAGGCACAGATGCTGCCTGTGCCACCACCATTCTGGGCCAGGGTGGCTGTTTGTCCATGCCTGTGTCCATCTGTCCTGTCATGCCCGTGCCCTTGCACGTGCTGGAGTGCATCCCCAGCGTGATGTAATCCTGCTGGACAATAATCCTGCTGTGCCACAACAGGGATGGGCAGGAGCTGCCCTTGCCGCCAGCACTGCTTTGACCTGCTGCAGACTGAGGGCCTGCATGGTCCCTGCGCTGGGACAGTCTCTGGATCCCTGGGGACAATGATCAGGACTTCAAGGGGTGGGTGCAAATGACACGGGTCACCACCCAAGCACAGTGTCCCTGTCTCCAGGGTGGCCAGACAGTGGGGGCAGAGGCTGGGGTAGGTGCCCACCTAGGTCAGCACCTACCAAGGGTGCTCGAGAGGATGCTGAGGTGCTCTGTGCCAGGTGTCACCAGGCTCACACCACCTGCGCTGCCGTCTGGCCTCTCTGGGCGTGTGTCCACTGGGAGGATGCTGTGGGGATAGTGGAGATGAAGCCCTGGAGTGTCTTAGGCCCTGCTCCCCACATCCATCGATCTGCCCTGTGCTCCTTTGATCCTCAGGCTGCTAACGAGCTTCCCTGGCAAAGAGCTCGTTAGCCACAGCAGAGCCTGGTGCTGCCTGACCAGCATCTGGCTCCACTGGGCACAGGGCTGGTGCTCCCTGCTCTGCCACAGGCAGCTCCTCCTGTGGGCCCAGCCCAGGGACAGGGACAGGACAGGCCAGTCCCAGCAGTTTCAGGAGGACTGGCTGCTGTGGCCAGCCTGTGGCCAGAGGCAAGTGCAGCACAGGTGGGTCAATGCTCTGAATTACTGAGCACAGGAGCACAAAGTGGCTGCCAGAGCAGCACCCTGCACAGGGGTCCTGGGGCTACGCTCACACCCACGCATGGGACCCCACCTAGCCCAGATGGAGCAACTGGACACAGCCAGGGCTGCAGGGACACTGCACCCACCCAGGGTCCTCTGCCAGCCCCTCAGGTGGTGGGTGCCAGCAGCACGGGGCACTCCACACCTGCCAGCACCTCTCGGTGCTCTCCTGGCTATCCCTGCTGATGCCACCAGCACCTCCCGCTCTGTCCCCTGTTCAGGACCCATCTCTGAGCACCTGGCCAGCAGCACAGGCCTGGAGTGACTGCAGCCAGTGGAGGGAACCCCCATTTTCACCGTGCCCCCAGCCTATCTCATGAGCCATTTCCAAGCGATGCATTATTGAAGCCCCCCCATGCCATCGCTCATGGCCGGCGTGACGGCAGGCGCCGCATCAGCCCTGATGAATATTTCAGGCCCTGAAATCTCCTGCGCCTGCACACTTAGCCCCAGTCCCCCCTGCCCCCCCAGCTTATTGGTTCCTTTGTTTCGCTGCGTTTCTGCCCAGCACCAAGGGCACAGCACAGCAGGGACACTGTGTCACCCTGCCCTTCTCCCTGGGGACGGTCACCCATGGCCGTGGCACCTGCCTGGAATGGGGTGGGGATGTTCCCAAGGGGCCAGTGGGCAGAGCCAGAACATCGCCATACTGGCAAGCTCAGTGCCAGCTGGGGGCTCCTAGGATGGCTCCTTGTTTCCTGGGACAGCTGTGCCCATCCCCAACCCTCCTTTGCGCCTGACGGACTGCAAGACCCTGGGCATCATCACCTGCAGGGTCAGGGCAGAAGAATGGGGACAACCCAATCTAGAGTACAGCCCACTGTGGATCTGTCCCAGCCTGGCACCTCTCAGTTCGCTGCCACCTCTGCCAGTGCTCCCAGATGCAGATGGTGGCTTGATCTATGTACTGTGTGAGCAGGATATCGATGCTGCTCGTCACTCCTTCATCAGACTCACTTAGACACCACCAGACACTTCACAGGGGACACCAGGGTGACATGACTGGGATGAGCAGAACATCTTCCAGGGCCAGTGGGGAGCCAGGTGCTGGGGCTGGCAGCCACAAACACATCTCTGTGTCTTGTCCCTTCCCCAGGGAGCTGTGGCTGCAGTGGGGCCATGTGCCAGCCCCCACTGTGCCCTACCCAAGGCTCCCACCCGGCATGGCCCTCACACCTCCAGCACATCCATGCCGTGGTCATGTCAGAGCAGCAGGGGCCGGGAGCGAGGCTGGGGCTGCCACCGGAGGATGATATTGGAGTGATCTTGAGGCCAGGAGGGAGGTTTGCCATGCAGGAGGAGAGGAGAAGAGCCGGCTGAGTCACCCGGTGCCGGCTGCTGACTCAGGCGCTTCCTGCCAGGTAAGCTCCGCCGCCGGCATGTGGGCTGCTGGGACGAGGGATGTGGCACAGGGGACAGACAGGACCGTGGCCCTGCCTGGCACTCCAGTCTAGCACCCAGAGTGGGCTAAAGTGGGAGTGTGCGTGGCTGTGCTGCACCGTGTGCTGACCCGTTTGTACCTGGGGTCACCCGCACGCCACGGCACCATCGGGACCGTGGGAACCATGAGGAGCTGGTGGCTCGCACCTCTGTGGCCACCTCTGGGTGCCCACACACCCAGGGCGGGTGAGATTTGGCACAGAGGAGCCTGCTGGAGCCAAGGTTCCGGCAAGCAGGCGTCTGGCGCCCAGGGCAGGAACCCTGCAGCTTCCTCCTGCCAGGCAGTGGGAGCAGCCCCAGCGCTGGGGTGGGCGGGCAGTGGGGCTGGGAACCAGGCACGGCTTCATCCAGTGGCTCCACGAGGAAGCTGATTTCCTCTGACGGCACTGCTGCCTGGCACCGCTGCTCCCTCACTGGTGGCCAGTGCTGCGGTGGCAACTAACCCTCCTCTGCAAGCCCACAAAATCCAGCTCCATGTAAATTAACTCAGGCCGCCGAGGTGCTAATTAACGAATGGCTCCGATGTCCCTCTGCGCAGTGGGGCGTCTGGTCCCTCTGGTAAGATGCTGGTCTGCATGGACCTGTGGCTCACCAGGGTCAGGTGGCTGGTGGCCACCCATCTTCACCTCCCCTGTGTCAGCACGCCCAAACCCAGCCCCAGGACGCCCCCCAGGATTCCTCCAGAGCTGGGCCTTCCCTCCTCTCCCTGGGAAATGGGAAGGCTCAGAGCCTGTGCCCTCCCCGAAGCGATGCCCACCCAGTGCTGTCAAGGCCCTGGTGCGGCGCAACCATCCGTGAGGCCTCATTCAAATTTAACGAGTGACACGGGATATAAAAGGGAAGGGGCAGGGAGGCGCAGGGCTGGGAGCCGGTGGGCACACGATACGTGCTGTGTGCCCCAGGCGTGCCAGCCTGGCAGGACAGACCCGTGCCCAAACACCAGCATGGGGCTGTGAGGGGCTGCCCCAAACACCGCCAGGAGAAGCTGGTGGGAGCCAGGACAGTTCATCTCCACATGGTCACGCCAGCACTGCTGGCTACCTGCTCCTCGACCCAGGCCATCCACCCCGCATGCCTTTGGCATGTTCTTGGGTGTCTGGCCGGACGCGTGCCGGCACCTGGCTCCCACGGGCGGGCCGGGAGCCCTGAGCTCAGCGCGTTGGGGCCTGGTAGGTGTGGCTGGTGAATATTTCATGCCCGCGTTCACCGAGCCCTTTCTTGGTTACACTCCTGCCTCCTCCCTGCACTCTCACCATGTTTATTTATTTAATGAATTATTTATCGGCTCCCCCTCTCACTCGGCTGGGCGCTGCCCCCCCACTCCCCCAGCCCAGCTCCCAGCCCGGCGCGATGATTTATTGAATGCCGGCTCTGCTCTGCGGTTGCGACATTCTGTCACAGGAAGCCGCGGTTAAATATTAACCAAGGCGGGCAAAGCGGGTCCCCTGCCCCTCGGTGCTCATGGATGGCGGGTGGGAGGCTTTCCCCAAAGCTTTGATGCCAAAAGCTGCTGGTGCACGGGGTGGAGGAGACAGAGGGGCACAGAAAGAGTGGGAAACGAGGGCCTGCTCCGTGGCTCTCCTGGACAGCTCAAGGCCTCACATCCTCCAGAGAGCGAAGCCACCTGGGTGTGTGTCCCCCAGCCATCCCACCACAGACACCACATCCCGTTGTGGCAAAACCCAGCCAAGCCCCCTCTCCGTGCCGGTTCCAGGAGTAATTCCCCGGTGGGTGCTGACTCCTGCACGTGAGTGCACGCCGGTGCTCCGGGGCTGTGTTCTGCCACCCGGCTGCCTTGGTCCCCAGCAGAGCAGTGGCTGCATCCCTCCGTGACCCCGCAGCCGTGGCGGGGGGGACCCCCGTGGTGAGCACGGCGTTGTGCGGGTGCTGACGGCGGTGCGTGCGTTGCCATGAGCGGGGGGTTTCCATGTGGAGGTGGGTGTTGCCATGGGTTTGCCGAGCCAAGGCGTTTCCATGGTGGCAGCGCGGTGCTGTGGGTCCTCCCAGAGGTGTGCAGCACCCCGGGATGTCACCGCTGCTGCTGCCACCGCACCCCGGCACCTGAGTGCCCCAGCCCCTGCAGCCCCCCCAGCACTCCCCCTCTCCCACCCCCAGGCAGCCAGAGCCCTTTTCCACGTGTTGTGTTTTCTTCACTTCACTTCTTTGGATGAATAATTAATAGAGGCTTTTTTGGTCCTCCGGGCCCTTCCGCTGGCCCCCTCCCCCTACCCGGCAGGGCTCCGGCAGGGGCTTGGGCTCCCAGTGCCACCAGTATGGAAGGGGAATGGGGACACAGCCCTGCCATGGGTATCACAGCACTGGGTCTCCCACAGTGCTGAGTGGGACCAAGGGCCCTGCCCATCACCATCTTTGTCCCCCTCCATGGACTGGGGCAGCATCCACATGACCAAAGGGACGATGAGAAGAAATGGGGTGGCTCTCCTCCCACACTGAGCTCCTCCCAAAACTCTGGGGAGCCAGGAGACCCCCCAAGACTCAGCACTGGGGCTCCTCCAGGGTGGCACCTGCCCAGGCCTGAGGGACACCAGGTACACCGGGGACTTGGGGACACGACATTTGGCACCCCATCACCCTGGCCATGCTCACCACGCCAGCGAGATATCTCCTGGCAGGAGCAGCTCAGGCCGGCTCAGCAAGCCCAGCCGCGGTTTTGGGAGCCTCCTGGTTCCATACACAGGCTCCTCAGGCTGCCAAAGCTCCAGGTGATGCGTGACGCCAGCACTGCTGGGGCAGAGGCTGCTGGGCCAGCACCGGTGCCGTGCACACGCTCGGTGCAGCCCCTGTGGGAGCTGGGGGTAAGCTGAGTGTGCCCGGTGAGTGTGCCCGGTGAGCCGTGCATGCCCGGTGAGCCCCATGTGCCCACTGAGCCCCGTGTGCCCGGTGAGTGTGCCCGGTGAGCCGTGCATGCCCGGTGAGCCCCGCATGCCCACTGAGCCCTGTGTGCCCAGTGAGTGTGCCCAGTGAGCAGTGTGTGCCCGGTGAGCTGCGTGTGCTGTGTGTGCCCGGTGAGTGTGCCCGGTGAGCAGTGTGTGCCCGGTGAGTGTGCCCGGTGAGCTGCGTGTG